ATAGGTATTGTTGCTTTAGGTGATTCGAAATTATCAGAAATTTATAACGTTAAAGAATCCGAGACGCCTAATTTAATTATAAATTTCAATTCAGAAATATTCGTTTAGTGTTAATTCTAGTAGGCTACGGAGTTTTGATTTTAAACGTTTGTTTAGCCAACAGCTACCTGGGATTTAGTTATTTTACTAGTGCAGTTGATAGTACCTAAATTTTTAATCTTATTATCTAAACTATGTTCGCATTTTAGGCTGCTAATATGATAAACCAATCCATAAACCCAAATACGATTAGCAACAACGACTATGATGGGTTTATTGATAAATGTTAAAGGCGATCCAGATGATTTCTAAATTTAGAAGACATGGAGATATAGTGTAACGTATGTATGGGCCAGGTTAACATGCAGGTTGTTGACGTATATGACGATTTAAAAATAATGAACATGACCAGAAAATAATTTTAAAGTTTAGACTGCTTGTGAAACTTCAGGCAGGAATATGATGCGTTATAAACATTCCATAAGAAGTTACTGCATTTAGCCTAGGGACACTTACAAATATATAGCAAAAGGAACCGGAAAACATATACATGTTAAGTAAAAAAAATCTTAAGTAAAATAGTTGAACTCGCCTGGGTTATTTTTGAAAATTAGATTATTCAGTGGACGACATATATAACGCCATTCGTGAGGAGTAGTAATGATCCAAAAGTATCCAGAATAAAACATGCAGTATGGCAATTAATTCCAGGGTGCTTGATGCTGTTGACGTTTTTGCCACTCGCTCGGATCAGAACAACCGAATGAATCCAGATAATTGTGTGTGCCATTGAACGAGCCATCTAAAATGAACTTATGATTGCAGAAAACTTATAGCTGAAACTCACCGTATGTTTTTGGAGAAGTGTCATCCTTGTTGTTTGGCAATGGAACTCGAGAATATGAAATTAGGCAGGCAGTGGTCGGAAGAAAAGATATTACAGGATAGTGCATAGTTTAAAACAGGATGAGGTGATAAGATAAGGAACACTGAATATTAGATCCAGGTAACTATTTAGTCCTTGCTGCATTGTTAGTCAATGTATATTTGCGTTATTTACAGGTCATATTTGCTAGAGCTTGATGCTTAAACAAGTCTATGTCGCTGAAGCATGTAAATGCTATTAAAGCTTGTTAACGAACCATCAAAGCTAATTAGTTAATATAGACGACCAGTTTTTATTATCGATTGAGCTAGTATGTCATGAGAACTAATCAATATAACATTACGATAATACATGTGAGCATTAATCAGGACTGTTAGAATATTGGGTTAACATAAATACAAAATAGATCAAGAAATTTAGAATGGAAATAAGATTAACAATATTAGGTTGCGTTTCTCTAGTCGGGCTTACCAATGTAGAACTATGGCAAAAAAAAAAAAAAAAAAAAATCTAATAATAGACCTAATCCTAAATTTGTAGATTTGTCATGATATAACTGCCTAATCTATAAGATCTTACGTGGAAGTCACACCATCGACTACACCAACTCACTGTATCGTATCAATTACCAATACATGATGTAGAACAAGGTTAGGCTAGAGAAAGAACAATATATTTAATATGAATAGAAGATATAAAGTAACACTGAGATGGACCACGCCTGCATGAACGAGCCATGCCACCCGATCAACTCCAGTCCATTCAATTCATTCTCCGCGCCTTCTCCATTGTTAGGTATTTCTCCGTGTTAAATATTGTGTTCAGCTTTGAAGATTGTGTGGTTATGGTCCAATGCCACTACACTTTGTTCCTATTGATCCTCTTAGTTGTACATTGTTAACCTTTTGGCTACATTTGAATTGTTAATATTTGTATTTTATTATAGTTTTCGTTTTTACTACACCTTCACTAATTCCACATGTTTCTTCCTGAACTGCACTTATGTTGTTTTACTTTATACTAAGTCTGGTCGGCAGCCATTTTGGTTTGTTCTGCTTTTGATTGCTTGACCTGTGTTGTCTGGAATTGTGCATTTTGGTTGTGAATTGAAGCACTCTTCCAGAATTGAAAACCCTGTGTTATAGAGCGACCAATTATTACCTTTTGAACGAATCTGTACGTGATCTATCCAGACAGGATAGAATAACATTTATTTGTGGTGATTATTTAGATTTGATCAATTGAACAATCACTGGTTGGATAGCTGAGTGGTAATATTTGTTTAGATCCGTCATCTTACCCAATTACTTTGTTTTTGTTTCAAACGGACGAGGGCGTGTATCTAACTCATCCAGGCAGCTGTCCAGCAGTCCAAACGTAGTTTGGATCTTACAAGGAGGACTTCTGAAGAATAAATTTGGACTGAGAATAGAATGTTAAGATTGATATATAAAGCGAGAGGTCACAGACAGTTACCACACATGCATGGCTGAACCATGCTATATCAATTAATTTTCCTGAGTTCATCATTTCTCCCTTCTAAATGTTGAATGTCGGTCTCTTCAGTTATTCTGTGTTTAGCCTTAAGAATCATGTAGTCAGAAACCAATACCACTACGCATGCACGAAATGATACTGAAAGATACTTTTTCTAATAAGGTGTAGACGTTTGATAACTTAGATTGTCAAGGTAGGTAAACCATTTTTATCAGTAATAGAATAATATCCTACTCAGAGAAGGTGGGTAAGTCAGTTCAATTCAATTCAAAGATGAAGAAACAACAGTAAATAATAGCAAAAGTTCCTGAAGTAGACAGAGAATGTGCTTCGAAGTCTGCAACGCAAAACAGTGCAACCACTTCGTAAAGTACCTGAAGTGACGTGCGAGATGTGGTCTGGTTATCGAGACTCTTAAGGAGAGCACATGTTTGGGGACGGGTCAAGGTGAAGAGTAAGAGTTCAGCAGTTGGTGAAAGAGTGAATTGTCGGCCCTCTATAATGTCGAAAGTGATTCATAGCCCGGCATACAACTAGAAGTTCCTCGCCATGAGAACTGCGCCTCGGTCCAGTGCCCATGGACTGTCTGGAGAAAGATTTCAAAGGTCACCAAGTTTCATTCACTCACTGCTGTCAGACTCCTCCGAATACAGAGCCTTATGCATCCACTGCGAAACTGATGGGTGATTTTGATGTCCGGATGTGTGAGCAGAGTTACTTTTTTTGTATTCTCCTTGACTATGGAAAACGCTTTTCTCACGTTCTCGTTCAAATAGTTGAACTTGGCTAGTTAAATATCTTATGAGAAACGAGCAATTCGGTATAATCTGTCGATGAAAATTTACCAAACCGTAAGCGTACATAAGTGCTTGTCTGTGGTCGGTTCTGGATAGTGCCGAATAGCCATCACTTTGTTCTTCAGAGTGTAGACGCCTTATACATCAATGGCGTGTCCAAGAAAATTGGAGAAATTGGTTTCAATTGACATTTCTCACAGTGATTCTCTCATTTTGAAGTCATTGAAAAACAAGTTCTGAAGCTGGACGTGTTGTTCTCCGTTCAAACGTGAGATTAAGTAGTTATTATATTCATTCTCAAAATCGGAACCTGTGAAACCACCGCCAGTAGTTCACTGAAAGTTGACTTATCTTTCTTTAAACCGAAGGACACAAGTGAAATGTCGCAGAGTCCAAAGGGTATGACAATGCCCGTCTTAGGAATATCATTCCCATGTATTGGACGTTTGTTATACGTTTTAGTCAAACCAATTTTTAAAAAAAACTGACGTATCTTCTAAGTTGACTGTCAGGTAGTGAATATGCATTATTTCGGAATCAGATGAAAACCACATACTACTACTGAGGTAACTTAGGTAAGAATAAATATATAAAATAGCCCTCATCCTAGATCAATGACCTTTTGTACACGTAGCTAGATTTCTGTTGTCCAGTCGTGTTGTAATTCGATATTGTTGAGCTGTTGGTCCATTCTTCTTCTATAGGTTAGGTCACCGAGTTGAGGAATAACCTTTTTGAATGTGCAGTAAAGTTTCAGAGGCATTACTGATAAATAAACTAGGTACAGCCTGCCTGATCAACTCACAAGTCAGTTCTTCTAGTTCAGCGAGGAATTGCACACACAGGCCTGTCACAGCGTGCTCATAGAAGTCAGCTTCTGTGTATCTGAATCAGGCTTCTGTATTTGCAGGCCACAATGAGACGACTTGCACGATGAGAGGCGTAGAAGTGTTAAACTTGAATGGTTTAGGCATGTCCTGACGTAGTAAAAATGAAAATTATAAATATGAGGAAAACCTAAGAGCACAAAAAGAACACCGGGTATATTTTGTCTTACAACCAGGAATAGCCTCATAGTTTATAACTCGGTTTAATGAATCTCAACAAGGATCACCACTAATGATATCACTAATATTCAGTGCTTGATAGCACGATTGCCTTCAACACATTCTATTTGAAGACCAGACCGGTCAAAACGGAAGTCATCAGTGAAGGAGTTCGAAGATATATTTTAGAAATTGTGATGTATATTATCTAAACTGATTAGCTGTTGTGAGGGATGCGTAGGATGTTGTACTCACTGGTGTTCTTGTGTGGATGCTTGACCTAAGACCTTCAGACGTAGTGCATCCAGTAATACTAGCGGAATCAGTGGCAATATAGGGGACCTTGAGAACGATTTGTTTTGGGGATTTATCTGCCTCTACGGCCATCAGTGAGCCACCACTACTAGACACAGTAAGGAGTAAAAAAGCTTCCGCCTTTCTTTTTGTAACCATTGGAACGACTTTTGCTCTCAATTAGAATGTTGGAACTTACTATTCAATTTACCATCTATATCACACAAAATTTAAATATCTTTTCTACTGAGATACCCTAGGAGCGTTGCCCTGAGGCCAAAAGTGGAATTACTGATATTCGGATTTCCATACTTCAGTTAATTTTAGTCGAATGAAGATACGCGATTAGAAAGCAATTTTTATTAACCGATCTCTGTTTTAACCTGTCAGTCAAGTACAATAGTTTCTCCCGCATTATGTAAACGTCTGCAGTTTTTGATTATGGGCGCACAACATACTAAGGAGCGTCCGCGTCGTACATATCACCCGAAACTTGATCATGAATTGCAAATAAACACACGTACGTTATTCTGCTTTTAAAAATGTACCTATCGAATGCTTTTCTATTTAATACATGTAAAATCAAGTTTCAGAAGTGATTTTTATTGATATATTACAGTTAACGTGATTATTTAATTCGTCATTTTACGATGATAAACTTTCTCACGTTTGTATTAGTAAACTGTTCTTTGGTAGTTAAGGGATGGGATGCTGTTTCAATAATCTTCTCTACCCACAAAATATTAAAGCACTGTTCTGTGAGGGGAACAAACTTAAGTTTATCGGCAGTGTAGGATTGTACAATGCGATTAAAGCTACCGAGTTCGACCAATTCCAGGGATCTAGTAACTGGACCCTAGCTTTAAATGACTAATTTATAAAGCCTAGTAAGTTAGTACCTCTAGTTCTTATCGATGAGTTCGATGCTCGAATGACTTGTCTCTAAGCTCTTCACATGACGTCATTGCATTTGTATCTCGTCCTGCGAATATAACGTGGGTAGAAGTTTACGTAAAAGCGATACTACGGGACCCTCGCTAGTTGTACAAAACATTTTATTTCTAAATGACTAGAAATTCGCTGTTAAACTAATAATTCAGAATTCGAAATCTGTAAGAAATGGTATGGCATCCTTAAATGTGATCGATCTTATCCAACTGCTTTGCAGCAGTTTATCTGTTAGTTTTAGAGGCCTTTACATTTCATTCTTCCAAAATTTATCAGTTTGCATTTTTTATTTGGTTTCCGAGGTCGGTAGAGTCTATTTATTTCTATCTATTTGAACACAAATATTGGTACAAAAGGGGCACTGAATGTATATGCCTCTTTTGTTCCATCAGGACAATCGAACCCATGTGCATTATTGGTTTGGGATCAAGGTTTTCCAACTCCCCTCGGTAGATCTTCCATATCCACCAACCCGGTCAAAGCACCGGACATTCGCTTTTCGTCCTCTCAATTTCGTAAACAACACCCCTGCCTCAAAGAGGCAATATAACTTCCCTGTCAGTAGCTATACACGCGTGGCTATGCTAGAGAATTTTGAGAGGGACAGCTGACTATCTCTACTTTCGGCCTTATCGGGCCGACTAAAAAGTGAAATTTTGGTCAGTAGATGCTATTTTTCAATCATAAAAGTTTCGAAATTCAAGAATTCTTAAAACATTTTGGAGTGGTTAAATAGAACAAACAGTGCAATCTCGAATCGTCATTGGTTGCATAAGTGGGGTAGGCTAAAAGTAGTATAATGCGATCGGTAGCACACAGGCTACCAAGTACGTTTTATGTGACTGGAGCGGTTCAAGTCATGTTGCAAGTGCGTGTGACAGCATCTGACTGCAAGCACTATGCATCATATGCTAGTTGCTGTGCAATTTTAAAAACCACATCCAGTTGTTAGACACTTTGGGTAACGTGGTTTAGAATAGGTTACAGTGGCACAAATACCTTTATATCTTTAGATTTCAAGTTCCAGATTTCCTTCGTATATACCTTTTCTTTCTGTCTATTTGAACTTTATTCTCATTGCCTATTCCTATTACTCTTGTTGCTAAATTATTTCAGTTGCTCCTCTATTCATCATATCGATCTTGCCAATGTATTGCATCGACTTGGATCAGTGAATATTTGCTCCAGACTCTGCGTTGACGACAACTAACTGGTAGTTTCGTCCGCACCCCTTAAACTGTAACTGTCTCTGAGACTAATGTAATATTTGTCCTATTCATGAATAACCTTGACTTCCTCCTTGCTACGAGGTATGAAATGAGTGTCACACGTCTGTCACACAAGTACAATCAGGAGTAACTCAATTATGGGTCGAAAATAACCGCAGTTTATTGCACTGATTTATATGGGGTAATACAACCCTTTGTCGAGCGTTTTTCTGGCTTTAGCTCTAATAGCTATTTTTGACTTTAAGACTTAGCCATTTTCAGAGTAGTAATTAATTGTTCATAATCCATTTCCTAATTCACATTCTTAAAATTGACTTGATCATGTATTTGCTCGGCTTTATTATCGTTTAACTTCCACCAAACACTAGGTTTCTGGAGGATATGTTGAACTATGCTAACTCATAATAAGTTAAATTCTTAATATTAGATCTAAAGTTTTCTAATTTTGTGTATGGTTTTTCTAGCTACATCTTGGATCCAAAATCACAACCCTACAACGAACTTCAAAGTTTCTGTAGCGCACACATCTCAGATAAATCAACCCAGTGATCAACTATTAATAGCTTTGTTTGATTTCATTCCACCAAATACACCAGAAAACCAGTCACAAATTAGAGTAGAGAAAGGTAAAGTTTGTATTGACTTTATGTGTCTACGTTGTTTACCATAATTAAGCCTGGTAAAAATTTGACTTTTTCTAGTACCGAGTAATCACTATTATTATTTTATTATCAGAAAACCTTTAAAAGTAGGACACCATTAATTGTATTACACAAGATGTAGCAGTAGGTTTGCGAACAAATGACAACATATATAAATGATGTTGGTTTCAATTGTAAGTCTTACTGTTTATGTAGGCCTTAGCAGAAAATTGAGACAGGATCACCACTGAGATGTGCAATGTTTGGAGTTTCAAGACAATGGGGTTGACGTTTTGGGATGATAATAAGCCACCACCATACTCAAAAGTGCACTTTGCATAACTTAGCGTTTTGACTAAATGTGAGCAGTCCTTCGAAGACAGTGATCAGATACAATGGTTCCTACCAACACTCTCAGTTATTCGTATGTATGAACTCGACCGTTTCCTACGACTAATAATCAAGGATGAGTGTAGAAAGTTCCTTCCAGTTTTGTTGAAATACTAAACACTTCGGTGTTGCACGTGCATACCATACTTAAGAGTTTTAATCGACAATGTATTCAAGTTGAATGGGTTAAATGATGTCATCGCATAGTAAAGCGATATCAAAGGTGTAAAATCTTAATAATAAATTCACAACATCTAGAACTCTTATTACAGCTGTTACTAAAGTGTAATCAAGCTTTGAGTGAGGCGGCGGATTGGTTTCACCAGTATTAAGGTTTACATCAGTACGCCTTGGGTTCAGATCTCTCTCCATCTACCTCGATTGCGTCGCTTGATCACATAATGTCTTCTTCAGGTGATTACACGAACTTGCACTTGACTTTAACTCATCTACCAAGTACATATTTATTTACTCGGTTTATAGCCATACCTTGTACAAAAGTTTGACTTACTACTTGATTATCCAAATGAAAGTATGTGGAAATGGATTCAAACCATTGGCTTGCATTTAGTACGTAAGTAATATTGAGTTCAAAGAACTATGATATGGTTGTACTTTCCTTTCTTACTCCACTTTTAGTGTAAACTAGTAAAAAAAGGTATATTTCCTGTCTATTTGATGTGTTTTCGAGTTTTCCCCGCGATACTGTTCTCACTGTAAATGCCAGATCGCACTCCTACCCGACATATTAATGACTGCTTTAATGTCAAGTACTACTGTTGACCCACAGTTCGTGTGACAGTGTGAAAATATGTACGTTTTCAATGGATTTACGACTGAGATAAAACGTGGCAGTGTGAGGTCAGTATTTTAAAATAAGCTGACAGCAGAATATTACCTTACTTTACCATTATGTTGCCCTTTAGGAGTCCGAGATCTGACTCCATTTAGATCGTATGAATGATTGTTGATGAAATATACATGTCTCCAATCCTCACATATAATCACCGACTTAAATGGTGTTGGTGAATAATGGAGTTAAATAAGTCAAATACGAGGATGGATTTCGAAGACGTATATTTCATACAATCGTTAATCCAGACAAACGATCGAAGGAACAAAGCGAAGAGAAGAGGAAGAAGCGAAATGGCGTCCAGTGGAGAAGTCATGTCAGCCTACTCGATTTTTAATCAAGCGTTAATCGCTATTTGTAGTCAGGCATGTGATGAGTAAGATAGGGAATACGCATGCATGCGCTTACACAAAAAAGTCAAGGCTGATAAGCGAATAATTAACAAGGTCAAAATGTGACTCACGAATGATGAATAATTTGGTTTGTCCCGGAAGCTAGAATAAGCTATATGGGCTTAATATATCAACCAACACTACAACCCCCTTTTAATGAATACCAACATAAGTTGTTTCTTGTATCTATCTCAACGTTTTTGCTGAATATTGTTTTTAAGTGGTTCCGTATCAACGGACCATAAAACAAGAAAATTTAGTCGATGTTTTCAAGGCATTGGGATAACCAAACCTTCTTAAGACTTTCAACCAGGCTTCCAGGTACTATTGAAGATTGTTTAAAGGTCCCCGTAATTTGCCCAAATTATCCATAAGTATAAGTTCTGTTACTACTGATGGCTTAGATAAGTTTCCAGTGCTTGTTAAGTCCAACTACTAGAATAGAGCGTTCCACATTAAGAAATCATTTCTAGAAGCTTACTGAAATCAGATACATATCAACAAATTATATTATAACGTTTTTTTGTCTCAGTTGCTCGATAAACCTTATTTGACTCAAAATATGGGGTCGGGTGCTTATGAACAGAGTTTGTGGCTATGATAAGTCTAAAATAATTCACTTTACTCCATCAACCAGGATTAGTTTCACTTTTTTAATTACAGCTGATAATAAAACTCATCTGCAAGCCTGTGTCAATGTAGTTAATTTCTCATGCTTGGAAATTCTAGCATTGCCATTTTAGTCCCTGAGATACTATAATGTTTAAACTTAATTTAGGCTCCACTTACCGTTTAGATGTTTTGGAACCTCCCATTTCTTCATATTTAGTACCTACTTTGTTTCCGCTATGCTTTAAATTAGGCGATCGTCTACAGCTGTTTGGTTACAGTGCAGATGGTGATTGGTCAGACGTTGAATGTATACGAACTAATGAACGTGGTTGGATACCAACAAACTATACAGGTCGCATTCCTGTTCCTCCTAATGATCACGGTACAGCTTTGAATACTGGATCAGCTTCCGGCAGTTCACTTACTTTCCAACATACTAGTAGTCACGATGTTAGTTGTAGTGGTAGTCAAGGAAGTTTGGCTGGAGTAGGGCTGGAGTCAGAAAAGTGGTATCATGGTGCTATTCAGCGAAGTTATGCAGAATATTTACTCAATAGTGGAATCACAGGAAGTTTTCTCATCAGGGAATCAGAAAGTCATCCAGGTCAGCTCACAATAAGTCTTCGTTATGAAGGACAGATATGGCATTATCGTATCCATCGTGATGATTCTAACATGGTAAGTTTTTTTACATATATATATCCTTAAAACGTAGATACTGATAAAAAGAGAAAAAAGTAATCATTATAGTTAAAAAAAAACTTATTGCTTGAAATTCTCGGATGTTTGAAGTGGAGAATTCCAGTTAAATACATCATTTACAATGTCATCAAATTTGTGATACAAGAATATCCAGTTGACATTTCTCAAACTGGACTAAATATGTGTTTGGTACTTTACTGTTAGCTGCCACCAAGTTACTCCAGTTAGTTCGGCTAACCGAATTAACGTTCTCGTCCAATTTTCGGATTTTTTTGTTTTATGCAAATAAAGTTAAAACATTTTTATCAACGCTTTTCTTACACAGATGATCCATGTTTGTTAGTCGTATAGGCCTTTGTTCTAGTGATTTCATGGATAATATGCTAAACCAGCAATCAAAGCCGATTATCAACAGATTTCCAGTACTTTCCTTGTTACTCTTCTAGAAATAAATTATTCTGATTTTCGTGTCGCATTCATAGTAAAGTAAGTACAAGTTTCGTGTGCTCTTTGTTAAGCCACATGATATGAGGGGTAGTAATTGTACTGGTCTGCTTGAGCCTAAGTAAATAGAGCGGGCTTCGAAATCGTAACCTGGTAGTTGAAAGCCGAATGGCTTGAATACCAAGCTCTACTGTATGAATTAAGTTGCCACTCTTTGCACATTTCTCATTGATTTTCAGCTCATTAGGTAGCCTGTGAATTAGTCATTTCAAATAAACTTTTTAGATAAGTACGGTTTCTGATTTTTTATATCATTCCTTCATTTTTTCTTAGTATTACGTTATTGAATCCAACAAGTTTACATCAGTCTCTGACCTTGTACATCATCATGAGAAGCATTCAGATGGTCTGGCCTGTACATTATTATACCCAGCACCTAAACGAGACAGAACAAGTTCAGAGCTACGCATGGATCCCAGTTTCGATATACGTGAGATAGATCGGACCGAAATAGTTATGAAACATAAATTAGGTAAGTCCACGTTTCGTTATAAATAATCTTTGATAGCTCGTCATGAAACAGAATGATCATTTAACCTATGTTTATTTACTTATTTCCTGATACATTAACGTTTCTTTTTATCTTTCATGCAGTTTTATGAAGTGAAAATGTCTTCAGTCGTTAGTGTATAACAGATTTAAACTTATGTTTGATATCTGATCTCTGTGTGTATAATCACGCTCTCAGCTATTTTCCTTTTGTACATTCTTATTGATGATGAGTTTATTCCTGCAAATACTGGATTACTTCACTATTGTACATCGTATTTCTTTACCAAATTATTATTCTTTCCTTATTTAAAATAGGAAACTTTTAGTGGATCTGGAAAGTAATCCATTGATGTGGATGTAAGGCACATAACAATGAAAAAAGCTAACATTTTAGAAGCATACAGACTAAAAACTTGTGTTTAAAGCGACTTATGTGGTAGAGAGCACAATAAATTCATCGTATTCCATAATAATTTTCGCTTTACTTTGTTCAGTGTTAAATATTGAATATAAAATACAGCGCATTAGTTTGTTGCGTGATGTGATATGATACTCAAAGATTAAGCCTAACAGTCACTTCTTAATTGATTGAAGAATGAGTGATCTGCAAGCTAATTTCTTCCAATCGCTTATGACATTTTGTGTTTATTTTGTGTTCTTTTTCTATATATATATATATATATATATATATATATATATATATATATATATATATATATATATATATATATATATATATATATATATATATATATATATATACTTACTTACTCCTGTTACTCCTCGTAAAGGAGCATAGGCCGCTCACCAGCATTCTCCATCCAACCCTGTCCTGGGCAATCCTTTCTAGCTCCGTCCAGTTGTAATTCATCCTTTTCATATCTGCTTCTATTATCCGACGCAATATGTTCTTTGGCCTTCCTCTTTTTCGCTTCCCTTCAGGATTCCAAGTTAGGGCTTGTCTCGTGATGCAGTTTGACGATTTGCGTAATGTATGTCCTATCCATTTCCATCGTCTTTTCCTAATTTCTTCTTCAGCTGGAAGCTAGTTTGTTCTCTCCCACAGAAGGCTATTGCTGATGGTATCCGGCCAATGGATGTTGAGTATCTTGCGAAGACAGCTATTTATAAATACTTGTACTTTCTTGATTGTGGTTGTTGTAGTTCTCCAAGTTTCAGCTCCATACAGTAGAACTGCCTTGACGTTCGTATTGAAGATTCTCACTTTGATATTGGCTTGTAGGCAGTTGTTTTGAGTTCCATATGTTCTTCAATTGAAGGAATGCGACCCTTGCTTTGCCGATCCTCGCCTTTACGTCTGCATCGGATCCTCCTTGTTCATCGATGATGCTTCCCAGGTATGTGAAGGACTCCACATCTTCCAGAGTTTCGCCATCAAGTGTGATTGGATTGCTGTTCTCCGCTTTGAATTTGAGGACCTTAGTTTTCCCTTTGTGTATGCTGAGGCCTACTGATGCAGAGACTGCTGCTACACTGGCTGTCTTCACCTGCATCTGTTCGTGTGTATGCGATAGGATGTCTATGTCATCTGCGAAGTCCAAATCGTCTAATTGATTCTGAGCTGTCCATTGTATGCCGTGTTTTCCTTCAGATGTTGAGGTCTTCATAATCCAGTCGACCACCAGAAGAAAGAGGAAAGGAGAGAGTAAACAGCCTTGTCTGACTCCGGTCCTTACTTGGAATGCATCTGTCAGCTGTCCTCCATGCACTACTTTGCACTGTAGTCCGTCGTATGAGTTCCGGATAATATTGACAATCTTCTCAGGAACTCCGTAGTGTCGAAGAAGTTTCCATAATGTCCTCCTATCTACACTGTCGAATGCCTTTTCATAATCAATGAAGTTGATGTATAGTGATGAGTTCCACTCAACTGATTGTTCGACGATGATCCGTAGTGTTGCAATTTGGTCTGTGCACGACCGATCCTTACGGAATCCAGCTTGTTGATCTCGAAGTTGGACGTCTACTGCATCCTTCATCCGGTTCAGCAACAATCTGTTGAAGACTTTCCCTGGTATTGACAGTAGTGTAATGCCTCTGTAGTTTTCACATTTGCTCAGATCTCCTTTCTTTGGAATCTTGACGAGGTGTCCTTCTTTCCAGTCCATCGGCACTCTGTATATATATATATATATATATATATATATATATATATATATATGGATCTTAATACATGAAGTTATTCATCTGGCTAGTGGTCTTGTCTTTGTTTTCTAATCATTCGGAGGCTCAAGTCAATTATACGGTTTCGTGAATAGTTGTCGCTCAGTCACATTATTATCCGTCCATTAGCATTCTATTCATTGATTTTAACTATCGAGATATCTTCTAAACAAATTCGCAAAAAACCTTTATACCATCACATTACCCATAAATTTATCAGAAAAACGATTCTGGTCAGGGATTTCTTTACTCTATAGAAATCTGTTTCACTGCATAATTTTAATATCACTACACTCCTATCATCATTATTCTCACTTTTGAACTAAATTAAGTGTTTGCTTTCAAATTTAATGTAGATTTCTCCATTGTTCCATTCAAGCAGTGGGGTAAGACTGGATTGTCCAATCACAGCATTCCTCTTCAACTTTGCCATCGATGACATTCTGGAAACAGCTGATGGATGTAAGTAATGGCGGTGTGGATCTGTTGCCTGGAGAAAGACTTCTCGACCTTGAGTATGCGGATGATATTTTCTTACTGTGGGATAATGCCCAAGCCATGCAATCCGCACTTAATCACTTGCTAATTAGTGTCCGTAGGTATGGTATGTGCTTTGCATCTCCGAAGTGCAAAGTACTTCTACAAGACTGGCAGGATTCTAATCCTGTATTCACCCTGGATGGTGAGCAGATAAAAGTAGTCGAGAAGTTCGTGTATCTGGGTAGCTGCATAAGTGCTGGTTGTGGCGTGAGCGATGAGATCAATGCACGTATAGTGAAAGCCAGAGCGGCTTATGCCAATGTGGGCCATGTTTGGCGCCTTCGTGATGTCAGTCTGTCTGTAAAAGGTTGGATCTACAACGCGTCGGTGAGAGCAGTTCTGCTGTATGCTTGTGAAACCTGGCCTTTCCGAGTTGAGGATGTTAGATGACTCTGTGTTCGATCATCGTTGTCTCCGAAGGATTGCTAACATTCAGTGGCAACACCATGTTAGTGATGCAGGGGTTCGGCATCGTGTGTTCGGGCACAGAGATGATAATCCGATTGGTGTCACCATCTTGAAACGTCGACTTCGGTGGCTTGGATATGTTCTATGAATGTCGTCCCAGACAATTCCACGTCGTGCATTATTTGTTGACTCTGGGACTAGTTGGAAAAAGCGGAGAGGTAGTCAGCGTATGAAATGGTGTCGTGGTATGAAAGAAAGCTGCACGGGACTGACTTCTGTTGGTCCTTCACGACTCCGTGGCTGGGGTCCGAGAGATGGTGCTACACAGTGGGTAGAGACGTTATCAGGAATGGATCAGAATAGAAGCCAGTGGCGATCCTGCTGTAACCTTCGTTTACTTTTTTCATAAAAAGTGGTTGTATCTTCCTTAAGTGAAAGAATTTTTCTGTTTGTACCTTTCTGTTTCTCCCATATTATTATTATTATTATTATTATTATTATTATTATTATTATTATTATTATTTATTATTATTATTATTATTATTGCACTACCTTACACTACTCTTTTCTTTTTTTTTCTTATACTCATCTTACCTGCTTTTTGCTCTTCCGATTGTCATTGTTTTGTGTGGCGCATGTATATTTGGTGCTCTCTTGTATCAATATTTATGTGTTCAAATAAAATAATAAACAGAATTCGATGAGCGACCACTTATCTAGTGAATTTTGAATCGCCCTTTATTTGATCATTGAAGTTTGACGTTTATCAATACTGTTTTCGACAAAAGTTAAGGTTATTCACTCACTCACTACTGTAGAGTTCTGAAGCGAATTTAACTAAACTTTCTATTTTGAACACATTAAATGGTAACCGAAAAGTGATTGTATTGGTTAAGGTGCATCTATTTATTGTTTTTTCTTTCATACACCTTTTCATTTCTTATCATATTTTTACACTATCCTTTACCTACATGCCAATAAAGCTCTGTTTTTTCTTCGTGTAAGTTAACAAGGGAAAGTTGTTGCATGTTCATGAAATAAATCTGAAAATACATCAATCAATGTTAACTAATAAAGCCATTATTAATTAATTTAATAGTTGGTTGTTTTGCAACTATAAGTATGGTCCAGTTAATGTTCATGTAAGTAAAATCTTATCGATGACAAAGGTACTTCTAATCAAAATAATTTACACGATTTCAGCCACTTCGACTTTACTGATAATATTTGATTCATATTATATGCTGTTTATATAGACTCTATACTTCGGTCAAACCCAAAATCTTATCCTGTAGTGTTGTGCTAAGAGTTATTTCTTCGTGACTGATGAATTTCTATCATTTGGAGCGTAACATTTGTTCGCAACACCTTAATATGGATTGGCGTATAATCAGTAACTATTAAGAATATTCAACATAACGTTTATTTGAACTATATTCAGAAAAATGGACTTATTCAGTATGGGCACTTAAAAAGTTTATTTTAATATTGAGATTAAAATACAAATATAAATTAACCTTTTCTTGCAATTGATGGACAGCAACATTATATTTAAAGTGTGCAATTTCGGTAGGACTAGCATTTAACATTCATGCTTAATTATTCTATATGACTAGTAATTTGATTAATTCATTTCCAACTATTTGTTTTTCTGATTTACTGATTACAGATGGTTCTCTTGAAATTATATCATTTTGATATTTTAGCTATTAAATAAAGTAGTCTGTAAGAGAGTTTGGTTATTGAGTCACTACTCACATGCTAAAATAATGCATAAATATCCGTGTAAATAATGAGCACTAAGACTGTTATAGTCTGAACTTGAAGCGAAACAATACGATTGAGCTTTTCTAAATGTTTTCACTTAACCAGTGTGCATCTCTTCCTGTTTATCAAATCATCTAAACTTAACTATATTTATGTTCATGTATCCTAAGGACTTCTCAATTTATATCTACATTTTATCATCTTTAGGTTACTGAACTTTATTAATTTGTCCATATTATTGGTAGATGTACCAGAGTATTTTTCATTCAGATATGATTTTCCTGCACTTAGATGTTTTTATCAGAATTCAAGAGTAACTAATGTTCTTGGATTTTAGACTATTTATAATCTTAATAACTACACCATCAATCCATCGAAATTGATCAAACTTCAGAGTTGCTATTATTCAACAGAATAACTAATCAATAGTCGAGGCATCTTGTGTATTTATTAAAGTGATTACACATTTTATTAGATAAGTATTTTACGATTCCCTTTCTTAACATTGACCTTTCTTGTTTTTTTCTCGATAGATTTTCTTATTAATTAATTTATTCGATTCATGCGTTTTATGGCAGCTTCCGCCATTGATTTTTTAAGGTCACTCTTCCATTTTTTTTACTATGGTGTCCTGTTTCTGATCTTTCATCTGCAATAATTATTTTATCACAGAATCACTGTGTACGTGTGTGATTTGGTTACCTTGATGTATAATTTCTTGTAAAATGTAATGATAATAATAAAAGTGATCCTATATAAAGTGTTGGTCATATGTTAATGGTACTGTGTGGTGAAATTTCAACGTTAATTATTCTGTTGTCACCTACGCTTATTCGGCTTCAGTTTATGTATACTAATAGTGTTACTTTATTTAGTCATCTGACTGTTCGACACTTCACGCCTGTCTATTTCATTTATTTTGATGCATGTTGATTTATAGTATCACTAGTGTCCGCATAATTGAATACATAAATCTATGTCGTATCGTACATTATTAATTACGAACTTAAGGCATCTACTTTCGTTTATACATTTAAAATTTTTTTATTATAAAGCTATATGGAGATTGTTCAGTTGTAGGCCTCACATTACAGACTGACTTTAGTTAGACAACCAGTGGAAATCAGACAGCGTTGGGCAGTTATTTTCTCCGAGTATGAACCTTAGCAAAGAGCATCAACGACTGTACTAAATATCGAAATATATTGTTAAGTCGTGATCTTTTCGGATTGTGTTCTATTCATTTTTTGTAGTGTTTTGATTCATTCATATACTCTGTTGAATTGTTAAATAAATATTCAGAGAATAATGGAAACGTATCCGTGTATGTCGATTTCTCTCTTTAACAGTGCAACAGTTCCTCGATTGATTTAACCGGAGTTCCAAACAACACGTTATGAAATATGTAATCAAAAATAAAGTAAATATATGAAATGAAAGAAATTAACTTGATAGAAGACATTAAATCACCTGAGTTTTCATCCGAGAACAGAAATGAATACATTAAGTTGTAGTAATGAGATGACGTGCTTTTTTTTTCTGAGTGCTATTGTGGCGTATGCTGATTTCGTTGACAGATATAAGTAGTATTTAGCAGCTGTCGGAAGTGGAATGCTTGCCAGCAGAAGAATGAGGTGATTGAATTGAAGAGAACAGAAACAGAAATAGAAAACAATTGTAACAGCAACAGGATTGAGAGAATCATGACGCATGTAAAAGACAAATAATATATTTAATGTATGGTTTTCAGATTTTACGAAAACACTGTAATTTTGCTTTGATCAATAAATTGGTTCTCCTCACCTTAGTCTCATTCACTGCACTATGCTCACAACGAAGATTATGGTCCAAATTAACAGTGTTCTTAGGTGTTATTTACTCTAAGGGTTTTTTCAATGACCATGATAAACATCACTTTCATTATAAGCGAATTTTAGCCGTGCTATCTGTAAGTCAGATCAGTGAATAGTTATGTTACTCAATGATCATTTACTGGTTTATGTATTTGTCTGTTAATCATACTTGTGTGAGGGTTGTTAACGATTCCACTCAGCTACCATAATTATAGCTGGTTGAATTTTGAACATCCAAACCAGTAAGTCGCAACTTTATACTGAACTTCGGTAATATTTGAATGATTTGCTTGTTGATCTCAATTGTTCTTATATGGGTTTGAAATTGTTGATTTCAGAAGTTATGTTTTTTAGGAATCTAGTTTCCTTTACAGTAACATCGTATAAGTGAAATATTATATTCTCTAAGTGCCATGTACCAGTATAAACTCGCTTCCTATTTTCCTAATGATTTTAATTTGTTTATACTTGTCATCTCTACCACCATTTTATGACAAAAGCTTAAAACCAACCGATCGAGAATATCCTGCTTAATTAGAACTCCTTATGATGTTGTACACATATGTTTTCATTTTAGATTACTTATCTTTATTATTTTACGGACTTTTTAATTTCAGGATCAGGACAGTATGGTGTAGTATATGAGGCTGTATGGAAACCTTATAATGTATTAGTTGCTGTTAAAACACTTAAGGTACGAGTTTACCCACTGCAATAACATTTTAACTAGATATTCTCTAATTTAGTTTTTATTTTGATAATCCTTTAACTGTTACATATTCTACTCGACAAGTTGAGTGAATAATGTCGTTTAGATATGAGTTTATCTCTATTAAGTTTTCTAATAGTGTTTTAAACTAATTCATAGCATTAGGTTTATAGAAGCTGGTGAATATTTTAAGAATTCTGCTCTGAGCTACTGGTTAGTAGGGACTTTAGTATCATCTAGTACGTTGTCATTACGGTAATTCCAAACAGTCAATAAGGCGAAATGATTGTGCATGATTATTTATATCTTTCATTTGCTCCTGAGTTCAACCTGACCGATCCACTTTAAATGGTATGTACACAAAATAAGTTTGATTCGTGATAATTTATGTTACTGTTCATGGGATCGAAGTACAAAGACATGGTTGACTTATGTTCTTATGAACCAACTACGCTGATTTCTTATTAATGTTTTACTGAATTATTAATGATCCATTCTATTGATGCTTGTAAGTGGAATCCTCAATAACCCTCTGCGTGCGTACAATCAGTAAACACACGTTGCACACAACTACCTATTTTAGATTTGTCTACTGTGACCGACTGTTCTATATAAATAACCTGATATCACATGCTGTGTTACTTAGTAGGGTTAGTGTATTGGTTTATAAATATATCCTACCCGTTTCAGTCGATGAAACCTTTAATAAGCATTTCAACATTTCTTTTATCCTGTAATTAGTTGGTGGTACTTAAGAAAAGTTCAAATAATCTTTTGTATTCCAGAGATTTCACTAATCACAGCCTCACTATGATAGATGGAATCTCTTATCTAAATGTAGTAGTTTTATGATACACACAACTATTTATTCTTCTATTATCTTACTATTCTTTTACTAAGGATACTTAAGTAATTCTGCTTTTAGCTTTACTGTTCGAGTTTTTGCTTTTGCTGGCCAAAATCCTTTAAGTCTCCATTAGTTTCTTTATCTTTTATATATTGTCCCTTTTCAATACTATTTACAAGCTATATTACTTACAAGTAGTTGTACAGCAAGATTTTTTTGGGAAGACAATAAAAGCGTGCGTCAAGAATGGTTGAAATGTTATTGAGAAATGATTGAGATATTGTAGTATATTATTAGTTTGGACTCAATTGTCTAAAGTTGGAATCATTCCAATTTTTTAGGTAATATGACGAATATTTTTTGTGTGCTAATAGTTTTTCATTTCACCCATTTTATTTATGAGTTGACGATTGTTGAAATGTAGTTTGTTTTGATGATTCGATCCTGAATAAGTATATAATATGTGTTTCTTAAAAATTAATTTTTCCAGGAAAATGTCACAGTTCGTGATGAATTTTTAGAAGAGGCTCGTTTGATGAAAAGCTTAAGACATCCAAATCTTGTGACTTTGTTAGGTAAGTACACAGAATTTTTTGCGAGTTTTACTAACACATTTTTCCTCGATTCATTCCAAATAATCGAAAACATATAACTTGCACTTCATAGTTTGCATCATAGACTGACTTTAGTTAATGGCATACATTGAAAACTAGGAAGAACTATTTCGCTGTCAAAACTTTTGATCTGGATGAAGTCACTTTTTTCAAATATATACTGCTAGCTCTAAGTATGCTTTATTTAATATTATTTATTTAAACACATAAACATTGGTACAAGGAGGCACCAAATATATATGAGCCACATAAATCGAATGATTTGGATTTGTGTGAGGCCTGGAATACTGCCCGGGTGCCCAAACTCAGTTTATGTTGACTTGGCACCATTTGCAAATTGTTTTTGCAGTAAATGTAAGCTTCACATATTCTCTATGAATGTGTTGTCATTAATTACTGTCAGATGATACATCATTTATTAGATGTTCATAATCCATTCTTTTAATTTATCATGACAACTACGAGCCACTTGCAAATTTTCTTTTAAATTTTTTCTCTAAAGGTGCGTGTACTCGGGAACCACCTTATTATATTGTCACAGAATTTATGTGTAATGGGAACTTGTTAGATTATTTGCGTACACATCCTAGAACAGAATTAACACCTTCAGTTTATTACATATGGCAACTCAAGTTGCTAGAGGTATGGCTTATTTGGAACAACACAACTTTATACATCGGTGAGTTGTTTTGGTTGTTTATGTTCAATCCATGATTTCTCATGCCACTGTTTTTTTTTAATTTCTAAATTAAAACTGATTTTACTCACTTTAATGTAGATATTATCTTGTATAAAATTAAACAAAAGTGAACTAATTTATTATTGAATAATAACTATCACTCATAATTATGGTTTAGTTTTCTGTTCATTTATCTGTGCTATCTTTTATGATTATTAAATTTTAAACGTTGTATTCACGAATCGATCTAATCTAGATCATCATTGAAAACCTGGAGGTACTGGACTGTTTAAAATACTACAATCTCCACAGATCCCCATACTGATGATAATCATGTACTCACTAGTGACTAGCTTCAAGATGGATTTCCTAGAGTTTTAGTGAGAAACTGTGACCAGTGAAGTCCAGTCCGTTTCCGATGTGAGATAGCTATCCATCTCAGTCAATGGATGAAGAGTTGCACAAGATCATGAATCGATCAAACTTAGACATTAAGACTGTTGGATGCTGACTTAGTGCTCTAGAGGTTGAGCGTTCACGTGCGAGACGGAATGTCCTGGGGTGGAGTCCCGAGTACGGGATCGTGGGTGCTCACTCCTGAGGAGTCCCACACTAGGATGAGACGACCTTCCGTTGCTTCCAGGTTTTTAATGGCGGTCTGGCTGAGATTGACTCGTGAATTCAACTGTTAAAACACTACAATCTCCACAAATCCCCACAATGATAAAATTTTTTTAGTGATTTGCATACACTTTAATTTGATTCCTTATCACAAATAAATTATACGACTTCTATATAGATCTGAAAAGTAACAGGGAAACTGACAACAGACAATAGTAATTACTATTGCTTATCGCCTATTGGATTCATGCAATAATTTCGATTCAGTAATAGCTATCCACTTATTGTGTTAATATTCATTATTAACCATATAGTTTATAGTTTTCATTGATGAACTTTTCATATTTGATCTATACTAACTGGCATTTTTAAAGTACACTTAGTTTTTATTTATTTATCCGAACTATCGTTTGACTACATCCACCGACTTTCAAAATAGTTATTACAAGTTACTGAGATAAATTATTACTTTAGGTGTATAATATAATTTATGGTTATTAATACAGACAGACATGCTACATATTTGTATTATAACTTTGTTACTGAAGCTTTACAGGAAGCACATTCTACATCCATATATATTTGACGTAACATTGTACTTACTCCAAGGTTTTATCATGTATAACGTTCTCGAAAAAATTATAGGCTTCATATTGTATACGTGACATAAGCACTTTTTTAGCTTGAATATATCATAATCATACTGTGAAAGTGAGTATTTTTTCTTAACTTTGATTTTTTCTCCATTCATCTGAATCCTAGAGTCCAGTTAACATGTTTTAATCATTCTAGTAAATAAAATTCCCTATTTTGTCGCTTGAGCCTAGTTATTATACATTCATTATTTAGTGGTGGATAATAGCAAATGAAACAATAATACCCCTACATATTGTCGAAATACAATCAATTAAATGATACAGTATTTAATTTTTCTTTCTGATCGGTTTAAAATTAATTATGATACAAGTATCAATCAAATGTTATCCTGCACATCATAATGGTACAGTAAAAATTGTAATTGAATGGAACAAGTAATCGATAAGATTATAAAAATAGCTCAATAAAGTTGGAAAACCCTGATTCCAAATCATTGGTGCACATGGGCTCCAGAATCCTGAGGGAATAAATGGCGTACGAACCAATTATTGGCCACCGGCTACCATGGGACTGTATCTCTTGACATTGCTCCACTGCCTTTCTTGGATCAGACCTTTAGGTTGAAGGCTCCGGGTGTGAACCTCTAAGAAAATCACCTACTTCCGCCTGGGCACCTGGGCAATATCACAGCCCTGACGAACTGAATGGGTTGTGTGGCACATATATATTTGGTTCCCCTTATACCAATGTCTATGTGTTTGAATAAATAAATAAATGCAATGAACGTATATAAATAAGACTAATGAATGTCTCCGACTGAGATCGACAAGTAATCACACCATTAAAATTTTTGATGAACTACCTAAAAACAATTTGTCCAGTTTACATTTTATAATTACAACTTTTCTACTCCTATTATTACGATAATTTTGAGGTAAAGGGCTAATTTTAATGCTGTTTTAAATACACGTTGATTAAATGTAGGATGTAAGTACAAAAACTAATCTCAAAACTAACAGCGTAACATTTCAATTTAGAGAGAAATTGAAAAAGATTCTTTGGATGAACGTTTGTACAATCCCACGAAAACATTGTTATGAAGAAACTCGCGAAAAATTGTCTAAAACCGTGAAGATTTATAATATGAATATTAAAGCAGTTGAAAATCAAGTTTAGAAATTCATTCTATATTTGTTATTTAAACACATAAATATTAGTACAAGGAAGCACTAAATATATGTGCCACACTTTACCATTCCATTTGTGTGAGGACTGGGATAATGCTCGGATGTCCAAACCGATGCAGGTGGTTTACTTAGAGGGTCATTCCCCGAACCTTTGACCTAGAGATCCTCAAGAAATACCCTTCCACGGTGTGGGCAGCCGGGAAGTGACACCAGCCCTCCTACCCATAACAGCACACGAGACTAAATTGGTCACATTCAAATCCTCCCTACACCTCCTCACACCTCTCCCGACCGTTGTTGCTACCTTGACGTGGTGGTCGGGCTTGCCTATCGTGATGAAGCAACCGAGCTATACTGGCTGGAACAACCGTTCCTCAAGGTCCTACCATGTCAGACAGGTCGGTTGAAGAGCGGTAAGACTAAAAGCAACAAACCCAAGGTCCGAAGGCGAAGTCGTACTGCTGACTGTACAGAGGTGTGACAGCAGTAAGGTGTTTCCTTCAGACAACCAGCATGACAGCGATGCTGCCTTCCCACAAGGAGGGGTGGGGTTAGAAAAGGTCGACCCTAAAAATGCACACCTCACCTTACCTCACGGATTTCCGTCTCCGGCGGTAAGGCCCTTTGAAGAACGGAGCTAACACGTCAAAAACCTCCACGAAAAGGCCGTGCGCGACCGGCCTCAAGCAGTTGTCCCTTGGGCACTGCGGTCACGCTCTCAGGTCACTAAGACCACCTCTAATCCAATTTCCTTTTCAGGTACCTCCAGAAGAACCCTTCCACGGTGTGGGCAACCGGGAAGTGATAACCGCCCTCATACCTCTAACAGCACTCAAGACCACTGTATTCATAATCAACCTCCTCTTCAATTCCTATTATTCCTCCTACATCGACTTTCAACCTAAACTTCCTTTTCGGCTTCCCCCTCAAGTGTCACCATAGCCAACGATTCTAGTGCTCAAAACACTGTCCCAGGTCTACTGAAACCTCGCTCCAAACTACACATTGGAGCCTTCAACGTACGCACCCTATGTCAAATCGGTCAGCAGGCTTCCTTGGCTAAAACCCTAGAGTCTCTTTCCATTGATGTATGCTGTGTCTCCGAAACACGCATACAGGATTCCAGTGTGGTCATTCACTTGACCTCACCTCGGCAAACGGAGAGCCAACGAGATACACCCTTCGTGTATCTGGTGACCCGATGGCCAGTTCTCGTGGACTGGCAGGTGTAGGCATAGCACTAAGCATGAGGGCGAACAAGCACTGCTAGAGTGGATCCCCGTCAACAGTCGTCTATGTGCTGTTCGGCTAAACGGCTCCGTAAGAACTCGGAAGGATAGGGACACACGTCGTTGCCTTTTTGTCGTTTCTGCCTACGCTCCCACTGACTGCAGCTCAGATGATGTGAAAGATGAATTTTACAGAAAGCTTTCCGAACTTCTTCAGAAAGCTAAACGCTCAGACATAGTACTCGTAGCAGGTGACTTTAATGCTCAGATTAAACCAAACAGAAAGGCATTTAGGTGGATATTTTAGTATTCCGGCACAGCGAACAGATAATGGTGATCGTCTGCTGCAACTGTGCTCAGACAATCGTTTATTTTTAGCAAACACAAATTTTAAGCATAAGGAGAGACATCGTCTAACATGGCGACCCCCTACACCAAACCAACGATGGACTCAAATAGACCATATTGCCATCAGTCATCGTTGGAGAGGGTCGGTAGAAGATTGTCGCTCATTCTGGAGTACCTGCTTGGACTCCGACCATGCCCTAATACGGGCACGCATCTGCTTGCGCCTCACTGGACGCAAAAAAGCCACATTAAAAAGACCCATTAGAACTGAGTTGAGTAACGAGAAAACCAAAAGTAGGTTCCAGGAACAACTGAGGTCACACTTAGGTAGTTGTGAAGACGAGGCTGACCCAGATGTTGCTTGGAAAGACATACAAGCAGCTGTGGAAACAGCAGTGACATCTATTAGTGACTTAAACCACAGAGTTACAAAGAACCAGTGGATTTCTTCAAAGTCTATCACACTGATGGATTCTCGCAAACTCGTCCCATCAGGTTCCGAACATGATGAAGAGCGAAACAAATCAGATCTAGGTTAAGAAAAAGTCTAAGGAACGACCGTGAGCAGTGGTGGGCAACGAAAGCAAAAGAGATGGAAAAGGCGGCGACTATAGGGAACACAAGACAGCTTTACAGACTAATAAAAGAAACTGGAATTAATAAGTCAAGTGTAAGTGAGATTATTTCGGAAAAAGACGATACTCTCATCTGCTCCCAGTCCAGACGTTTAGAACGATGGGCGGAACATTTCAGAGAACAGTTCAGCTGGCCTTCAGCTACTCTACAACTACCCTCCATTCCCAGACAGTGTGAATGGAACATTGAAGTAGGTCCCCCAACTCTTGCTGAAGTTCAAAAGGCTATAGTTAATCTGAAACGAGGAAGGGCAGCTGGTCCAGATGGATTGGCTCCAGAGGTCTTTAAGGATGGTGGTCCAATTTTAGCGATTAGGTTGACTAATATTTTAGCTAAGATCTGGGAGTTAGACGTTATCCCATCTGACTGGTCACAATCACTT